CCCGAAGAGGACGTTCATGTAAAAAATGGCTGGACGCCATCAAAGACAGGTGGCGACGCAGTGAACAAGACCTGTGCCAACTAGCACAAGACCGACGAATATGGAAGAAACTAATCCGTACAGTGGTTGGCCCAACGAGCGATAAGTCTATGGGACATCATGAATCATGCATCATGAAATGATATTTAACCATCGAAAGGATTTTTTATATCAAAACAGGAGGTGTACAAACTCACTCGGATATAGCGAACCTATTTCTAATCAAGTGAAAATAATCGTAAATGATTCTCCTCCTATTAAGATACTTACGATTATTCAAAGAGAGGAGAAAACCATACGTAATTTTCATTATAGAATAATACGTTTTACTTCCTTCGACCTTCGATAAATAATCAGAAAAAAAGATATGTTTTGACCGTGAATCAAATCCATGATCAAGACTGCTTAACATGACCAGTGCTCTAACCATTCAGCTATCGAAGCAAAGTTGACAGATATTTTCTTTTCTAAATGATATTTAACCATCGAAAGGATTTTTTATATCAAAACAGGAGGTGTACAAACTCACTTCGATGTAGCGAAGCTATCACTAATCAAGTGAATATAATCGTAAATGATTCTCCTCTTGTCAAGGTAAATACGATTATTCGAAGAGAGAAAAAAAGCATACGTAATTTTCATTACATTTGTACAACATAGGAATAAAGAAAGAAACTAGGGTGTGGGTGAATAAGCTGCCATGACTAGTTTCGACCTTGCTAAAGGGTCTCATCAGATGGCATAAATTATCTTGAATTATTCTTAATCGAAAATTCAAAACAAATTTTAATATCTTCAAGAATTTACAAAATTATTTAAAATAAAATTGTAATTGAAGAATTAAATTGATAAAGCATTATTCTATTGGTGATCGTTGTTGAATGGATGATATTGGTGTTGTTTGATTAGGTTTGTTTGAATTCATTTTGTTTTTGGTTTGTTAGGTTAGGTGAGGCTTTTGTTTCTGTTGTTATAAACTGTAAGATTGTTTTATTTTTAATGAAGCGGGTTGAAAGAGTGCTGATATTTTGCTGTTGTAGTTGGTTTCTTGCCATATGATGATTGAGTCTTGAGAAATATGGAGTGGTCGTATTTTATTATCTATAACAGAAAAGAAATCAATTTTGAAATAGTTATTTTTACTCGGTTGTTTGTTTTAGAGCTTTTTCCAAATGTTTTTTTTGTAAAGTATTGCAGCCTAAATTTATCGCAAAAGTTTATGAAAAAAATTTTAGTTTAATGGAGCATCAAAAGTGAGTTGTTTTTCAGTTGTTTATGTTTTGTGCTGACTTGAAGACTGGTGTATTGTGTTTCGGATGTTGTTGATTATTTGTTCGTCGGATCAGATATATTTACTTTCCGTGGTTGTTTTCTTCTTCATTGTCGTTCTAGAAGAAACGGATAAAATAAAATATTATATATCGATTAATCTCTTTTGGTTTCTACTTTAGATGCCTTACTTTTAACTGGTTTATTGATAAGTAAGGATTGTTTTGGTCGTTTACAAATGAGTTCAGTTTTTCCCGAACGACGATTCTTATTGCCAACAATCAATTTAACGTCTGCAGCTGGTGTATCTTTGAATATATTATCATAGACTTGATGCATGTCTGATTTAAAAGTTTGAAATCGTTTTTCATGTGTATAATGGACGATTAATTTATTGGCAGGAGTATGTTCTTTCTTGTTTAGTTCATGAATTGTTGTTGTTGTTGCTGGTTCTTTCTGTGGTTCATCGGTCTGATCATTGTCAATATCGGCGGTTGCTGCACTTATCGATACTTGTGATTGACGAGCAGTGGGTAGATCAAGTATCTTATTACGCATAGTTACAAATTGTGTTTCATTATCAAAAAACGGTAAAAATGATGAAGAATATATATATTCAGGAAAGGGTGTGGGTGTGAATAGCTATCAAGACTAGTTTCATCCTTGCTGAAGGGAATTATCAGTTGACAAATAATCTAAATGATTAAATTAAAATAAATTTTAAAGAAATCACAAGATAAAATTATATCTGACTTATATAGAGAATTAAAAATAAACTCATACATATAAGTTGATAAATTAAAATAACTGTAGTGTGAACAGCTACTATGATCGATAGATTTTGTGCTTTGTTCGTAGGTTACTTTTTTTTTTAAATTTTTTGTAGTGAAATGTCTGAAAAGAAAAAATAAATTATTATTTTATTTGGGATTGGATAGTATTAAATGTTGAGGAAGTGTGACATGTTTTATTTTGTTTTATAGGATGTATGAATGAATTATTGATATAGTTGTTTTTTTCGAAATGTTTATGATCATGCTTTTGATGGTTTCGTGGATTAAACACCCTGAGTAGCGAAAATGGCTGGTCATTTGTATTCGGTTGATGGAGGCTCGGGGATAATTGTAGTTTGTTGTTGGTTCATAGTTTGTTTTTCGAATTTATCTAATTAATAGTAGTAAAAGAAATGTTGAAAATATTTTTCTATAAAGGAATCATTTAAATTGTTTTTGTTACAGGTGTTTAACTTACTTTTAATTATTGTTGTGTTTTGTAACAATTTTTTATTGGGCCGTTTGTGTATCAGTTCATTGTGTGTTTGACGACGGATGCGATTGCCGAAGATTAGTTTTGTGTACATTGCTGGTGTATCTTTGAATGTTTCATGGTATACTTGATGCATATCTCGTTTGCATGTTTTGAAGCGTTTTTCACAGGTAAGATGAGTAAAGAATTTTTGGTTAATGTTTGAGATGTTTTCTTCAGATTTTTTTGGGTCTGGGTTTGGTTGTTGTTTCTCATCATCATCTGGTGGATCGTTGTCAATGTCAGCCAGGGCTGCACTCATGGCCACTTTTGATTGTCGAGGTGTTGGTTGACCTAATATTTCTTTTCGCATACGAAAATATTTCTGTTCCTCATCAATTAATGGTAAAAAAGGGTGATTTTGATATATATTCCGAAAAATATTTGTGAAACTCATTTTCAATAAATGTTGATTGATAACTAAATAATGTGCGATTGAAATAGAATAAGTTTTTTATAAAATGTGAAATAATGACTTACTCATTGTATAGTAACATCAATTTAATGTAATGTCGTCCATAATTAAAAGCTTCGAATGTCGATGAATATCTTACAGCACGTGCAAGACACGTTTGGATAATATTGATGAAAACATGTCGTGGATGATCAGATGTAAATGGTATTACATATGGTTCAGCTGCAGATTTATGATAAACAGATGTTGATAGTATGCCATTATGATTTGTAAGTTGTACATCAAGAAATGGAAGACTATTACCAATTTTATAATCTAATTTAATATTTGGATGCCATGTATTCACATCATCTAAGAATTTTCTTAATTCTTCTTCAGATCTATTCCAAGTCATAAAAATGTCATCAATATATCTAGAAAGAAAAAAAATTAAATAATCGTCATAATTTTATTTTAAAATTCTTGGTCACTTACCGTCCATAAAATTCACCTGTCTTCGTTTGTTCTTCAACAATATTTTTTTGCCATTTTGCCATAAAAAGATTAGCTGAAGTTAATGTCAATGATGAACCCATAGCACCACCAGTTGTTTGTTTATAAATTTTTTTACCATAAGCAAAAGCATTGTCTTTGAGAATAATCGAAGCTAATTTTTTTATTGTATCAATATTAATTCCTTTCGCTTTTCTATAACCATGAGCATGAAGAAATGTGATAAGAATATCTAATGTTTCTTCTTGTGGTAACATTGCATATAAATTACGAATATCGAATGTACAAAAAAGAGTTGTTGACTTTAAGAGACCTTTTTTGTTATATTTTGAAAGTTCAGTAATTAAAGTAGCGCCATCAATAATAGTTGTATCTTTGCATTTAGCATCAAATATAGGTCGTAAAATTTTGTCTAAGAATTTTGAAATTTTTGTAGTTGCAACATGAATAGTACTTTCAATTGGTCGAACTGGTATACCATCGTTAAAATATTAATTTATCGAAAAAAAATATAATAAAAAATGAATAGAAACTTGAAAAATATACCTTATGTGTTTTAGGATTAAAATATAGTTGACCCAATTGACCTGTTGTTCGATCAGGCATCATTTGTTCATATTGCCATTTACGAATAAGATCTTTTCCACGAAGTGTATTGAGTAATTGTATAACTTTATTCAATATTTCATTGAATGGATTGGAAGATAATTCTGTGAAAGCATTTGTATCAGAGAAAAATTTTCTAGCTTTTTGTTCAAATTCACCAGCTGAACCAATATAAAAATTATTTGCTTTATCAGTGACACGAATAATAAGATTCATATTTTGAATTATTCGTCGAATTGATCCAAGAATTTGTGCTTGTTCACGGCTTATTAATTGATCTTTATATGATAATGGTGTAAAATAACTTTGATTAAGATAATCGAGAAGATGATCTGAATATTGTTTCAAAATAGCATCGCTTCGTGGTATAAGATGAGGATATCCGGTGAGACGATTTTCAACTTTTGAATAAATATCTTTATGTTGATTTTTTATTTCAGTTTCTTGTTGATATTTTGGACGAATAGCATTTTAATTTACTCTTATATAATATGAACTTAAGTTAATAGAAGCCAAAAGAATTTTTTAAAATATTTTTAGAAAATTATCTCACCAAGTGTGTGTGTGTGTGTGTTTTATAGCATACTACGACGCATTTCGACCTTGCATAAGGATCTCATCAGGTAGTTTTATCTTTTGTAATTACCGAGGGTTTGTTTCAGTAGCAACCGTTAGACGGTTCTTTCCTGGTAATGGACTCTTCAAATGCGTTCGTCTTTGTAACTGTTGCAATGAGCTTAATTCGAATCGCAAACCAGTTAGTTTAATGTGAATTTTCATGGTTTAATATTAGTTAAACGAATCAAAAGAGTAATATATATATAGTTTGTCTGGTTTGTTTTGGTTCGTTGGAATGATATTGCGATTCTTTTCTGCTAACGGGTTCCGTCAGTTGATTTATCTGTCAGAAATTCTTCATGGAGTTTGAAATCACAATTATGTTATTCTTTTCACATTTCTTTGGTAGGATGTTTCCTGATTAATGGTGAATTTTAAGGAGAAGGCTTCGTTGAAGGTTCTTTTATTAGCATCCGGAAAATATTTGATAATCTGTTTCGTTAGAAATGATTGGTCTCTGTATAGCATGTATTTGTTTCGTCGACTTCGGAGAAGGTGGCCTGTGATTGCTCGTTTCTCATAGGTAGCTGTATGAGATACGGAAACTGTTATTTTAGCTTTCTATAATGGCATGATCTTATTGTTTCTTGGAAATTTGAATGATGTGATCATGTTATGATAATAGTGGTAGATGGGCAATCATATTGACATTCGTGACGATGTTGTTAGTGAAGGAGGTAATTTGGCGATGATTTTATGTGCCGTAATGGCAGGTGTGTTTGCTTTTCAGATGTACTGTTACATATAATATCTTCTTTTCAATTGAGTGATGTTTTCTTTATTTATATATAACAACATAAAGTTCTGAATAAGTTAAGTTAGTGGCTGCTTAGCTGTACTTGAGAGTTATGTATTTGTTTATTAGTCTCAGGTTGCATTTTGCCCTGTTTGTCGCTTCTCGCATTCGGAAGATATTTGATCATCTTGGCCACCAATTCTTGTTTTAAGTTGTGATTCAGATAAGTTCCAATGATCAGAACAGTATTCATGATCTCTGTTTGATGGAAAGTGTGACTCCACAATTCATGAATATATCGATGATTGTTCGCAAGTCTTTTTTCATGTCTCCGATGAATGATGAGACGTTTCCTTGTTGTTATTTCGTTGTTGTCTGTAGGTTGCACAAGCTGATTCTGCATATTTTTGTCAATGGTTTGATCGGTAGTTAAGCTTTTGGCTGTTCTATTGTATATTTTATCTGTTGATGTTGTCAATAACTGATGACGTAAATAATCGAAGTCATCAGAGTTATTGAGCATAGGCAAAATGAAATATTTGGACAAATATTTACTGACTAATGTAGTGAGCTGCCGATGGATATGTCTTGCCGGGTACCTACAAGTCACATAGAAAGAGTGAAAAACATGAATGAATACAGGGAACATACCCGTTATAGAGAAACATGAGTTTCATTTGTCGTATTTCTTCTTTGAACTCAGATAAGGTTGTTGAATAACGAACTGCTCTCGTAATAGCAGTGTCAACAGTGTTTCGGAAAACATGATCAAGGTGATCTGATCCAAATGGTACGACATACGGCTCAGCTACTTCTTTATGATACACTGAAGTTGTTAAAGTGCCCTTTCTGTTCTCAATGAGTACATCAAGAAATGGAACACTTCTACCAATTTCTCGCACTAGTTTAATGTTAGGATGAAAGTTATTAGCTTCATCTAACATTTGGTCGATAGATTCTAGTGAGTCGTTCGACGTAAAGAAAATATCATCAACATATCTAAAATGAGACACTACATGCAAAGGGTGTGGGTCTAGATCAAAACATGCACCTCCTGACCCACCCCGACACCGACACCTAC